GATTTGTGTTAGGTGAAGTAACCAATCTAAGTTCTTTTTACAGATTTTTCATTTTCTGTTAGAGGATTGGTTTTGCCACCAGATGGCAATAAAAGATGGGTGTGCTTGAGGAGTAGTCTCACAACAAAATATTTGGATTTAAAAAGTTCAGCAATTTCAACAGAAAAAATCATCTGCAAGACTTGAGAAAAAATCAGAATGTCTTTTGAATCTTAATAGTGATCTACTTTCCATTTAATGTTCTAATAAACAGAATTGAAATAAATGTTGGTATTGTACATATGACTCATTCATCTAGAACTGTCCACCTCAATAATGATTTTCAAAATCTGTTAACCTTCCACTTCTGTAGCATTTTTCTTCAGTAGAAGAGGAATAACTGAACTAAAAACAAAGAATAAAAATGAAAAATTGTGACTCTACCTACAGGACTGCTAATGAGAAATACTTTGGGATAAGTAACAAATATTAGCCTCTCATTGCAAGAAGAAAGCCACCCCAGAACCTCAAAATATTTACAAGATTGAGTTGTGGGTTTTTTCCCCTCTCCTCTAGCCAGTACAGTAATTTATTGGATACAAGCCACATTTTCAATCTCATTTGAAAGGTAGCTGGGCAGTCCCAAAAGAGGCTCAAAGTAGGATAGTCGAGAACAAGTCAGAGTCCTTCACTGTAAATTATTTTTAACATCCATATTTTGACTTATTCTAAGCTACCAGGTATTTCTCACATTATCAAACTCGGAAGAAAAGTCACAACTACTAAAGATTAACAGTATTTAATTCAAATCTTTGACTTTGCCTCTAAGATTTTAGCAGAGTACAGTATTTGCAGTGAAGAAGTGCCAATGGCATAAAGCCATTTAGGAATTGCACTGTTTCCACAAAAAGATGTTAGTGATTACAGGAGGTTACAGGTCACTACAAAATAGCTTTGTACTAATTACACATTATTTTTATTTAAAAAAGAGGAAGCAAACAGAAGTCTAAAAAAAAAAAATAAATACTGCACATCTCATGAGATAAATGTCCTAGTATTGAATTGTTTCATGTCACCCCTTGCATATTTGCAGCAGTAACAGCTCTTTACTCAGATGTATCAGATCTTTCAGATATTGGATGGCTGCTGATAACTCCTCACGACCAAATCCTGCTGCACTCTTCCATGACATGTCTGACCGTAACAAACAAAGGTTCCTCTTATTTGGGTGCACACAAATGCCTCAGCTGCCAAACTTCACTTCTCACTGCAATCACTCAGTTAAATGAAGCTTTAAGCTCCTCTGTCAACCAAATTCACAGGCCAAAAAGATTGTCAAACTGTTTTGAAATGTTGCTAAATTACCTTGCAGTCATCCCTGCATGCCTGTCTAGAAAGTGTCCCCTTCCCTCTGCTATTAAGAACTATTAAGAATAGTTCTTTTAAAAGAGTCAAGAAATCCTGGGATTAGAGATCAGTTAAACTTGCCACAGTAGCAAGAACGTGATACAGTCCTCTAATTACTTTCTATAACATTTTATATAATTATGGGACTTGATAACAATCAGTCCAGCATCTGCTTCCTGTAAAAGAACACTGTGCTTCTCCAAGCAGGTTTGTTTGTTTTGTCTTTTTTTTCTTTTCTTTTTTTAAAATTAGTTCAGAAAGATAAAGGTGGCTTAAAAGATAAAGTTATTTGGAATTTCACCACCAAAAACAACAACAGCGCAACAAGGTTTAAAGAAAGTAATAATTAAAGCTTGCATTTTAAAAGTCTTGGCATCTAGTCCCAAACAAGAAGTACACAGCATTTCCCAAAAGAAGAAATAGGTCTTGACAGCCAGGAAACATGAAATGGAGCTGAAGCTCAGTTCTCAGAATTTTTTAAATTTTTATTGTGTTACTGAAGGTTATCATGAAGAAATATTCAGATGTGACCTACATGAAAACCTAGAGTCCTACCTAAAAAGCTGGAAATACTGTGTGAGTGTATGAGAGGAAAATACCAGAAAGAGAAAAGCCTTTTCATTGCCCCCTTAACCAATGGACACTGATGATTTTACAAAATAGGGCAATACAGACCAGTTGGGGTAAGTTTAGCATGGATGTCTGAAAATATGTATTTAGAGTGTAAGAGTTTACTTAATAATTCATATATCCCTGCAGTTTAGTCATTTTGTTAGGAATGCCAGCACAGAGCATGATACAGTGCTAGGAAAATTACATGGAAGATGCTCCATAGCTAGGCCTAATTCATGCATTTCTGCATGATCTGTCAGAGATCAAAAGCCAAATATGCAGAAATGCCAATTGTTTATATTTCTGACTAAAATAAACTTAATATTTTAATACATATAAAGCACTATAAGCATATTTTACACTTGAAAACCCTAAAGTTTCTAAGCCAAGCATACACAAGTACTGGATTCCATAGTGTTCCTTTCTCTTCCACAGTCTAAACACCATATAAAATTTCATAGAGGCACTGAAAGTATGAATGTGCTTTAAAAGCAGTAAACCTGGAGCCTAGGCAAGCTAAAGTCTACCATCTTTTTGAACAATTAAAGCACCGTTGAGGAAAAAAAATGCACACAAAACTTAATTACACTTCACACATAGGGATAGATTAAAGTTCTAGAAGCAGCTTCAATTCTGGTTCTTCCCCAGTTTCATCATGTTCCATAATTTAAAGAGCACTTCTTATTTTTAAATGTTGTTTTGGATGCAATTTCATTTCTTTTTACTATTTTAAGGAGAAGTCAGTAGTAAACCAGTGATTTTGTTGCTTGCATTGCTTGAGAAGCAGCAACAAAACAAACAAAATTTGAATGATGAAAAACCATAGCTGCTTTTATATATATATGCTAAGAAACTGAGCTACACAACAGCAGATTGATTTCCCCTTGGAAGAGTACAAAGTGGTGAATTCTAATGAAAGCTCAGTGGTATACACGTACTGTATTTTTGGTTTTGACCAGAGAAATATACAGAAGCCTGGTTCTCCCCCAGTCTACCTTCTGCTCTACTTAGTGCAGTGAGCCCAACCAAAAAAGACAAGTCACGAAAACAAGCTGTGTGGAATTAAATCTGTGTGCACTGGAGCACAAGTTAAAGGCAGAAGTACAGCAGTTTTGGTGTGTTAGCTAATACAACTGTAAAGCTCATCAAGAAATTAATAAACAAAAGCCAATTTGTAAAACATGTTGTATGTAATAATGTTTCTCCACTTCTTCAAGTTTGATCTTGGATTAAATTTACTATGTGCTCTAGGATTTAGAGGTTACTGTTTCCCCAGACAGGACAATGAGATTAGCTGGTCTTGAGCATACAATTCTGAAGCAATGGGCCTTTGTTTCAGATAGTCTAGTTGTACCTCTCTTCAGAATGATTGAGTT